AAATTGATAAAAGAAGACTACTCCAAGACACCATGAAGTTGAACGTTACGATCTTTAAGTACGAAACATTCAGATACAACTTTTCGCTTAATTAAGAGGCGTAGATCTATACCGTATCGTAGCACAGTCTAGCTGAATGTGTTGTTTGATTTGAAATGAGGACTATTTTAGCTTTTCAATCAGATTAATAAAGTAAAAAAAAAACCCCTCAAAGATAATGGATAGATAATTGGTAAAATGAATGTATAAAATGAATCTCTCCAAACATTGACTCAGCTCACGTCATGAACGTTGATTGTCAGTTTCTTTTTCAACAAGGTAGGGGCTGAACAAGATTTCTTTTCAAGAGAAGGAATTCACGAGAAATATGAAGGATGAGAAAAACAGCTTGACCAACACAACTTGTCACCAAAGACCAAAAAAAAAGACCAAACTAAAAGTAAGTTTCAGTTTGGTAAAAGTTTTACTGAACTCACAACCACATAAAGCCACATGACTGTCCCCCTGGTTTTATGCACCCTGCATAATTTAGCAAAATTTGATCTTTTTTTGCATAATTTCTGATTATTTTCCTTTATCATTCTTTGTTAAAATTAACAATCGTATAATTTCATATTTTGGGGCTCAGTTTGCATAATTTCAGAATTTTCCTTGCATAAAACAACGGGGACAGATATGAGCGCGTGGGACACGAGTTGGCAGTTTTCACGTTAGATCATATACACAAAGTGATGAAGACATGATTTTTTAATATAGCAAATAACTAGAGAAAGCTAGGAAACTCTATGGTATGGCAATCTTCTATTAAATTCGCATTGCCTAAAAATTGAAATAACTTAAATCAACTGCAAACGTCACAAAGTAAGAATTTGTCTAAAGGTACTGGACACATTTTAAAAATAAGAGGCAGAATGGCGAAACCAGGCGCTAGTCAAAATAATCAAATTGAAGAAAACAACATTTTTCTGCTTGTTCGGCAATTTCTACTGAATTTTTGTTTTTTGGCTCAACATCTTCTGGGTTCATTTAAAAACACATTTCTGGCTTGGATTTGACCGAAAAACGTTGCTTTAAGGGACCAAAAATTTAATGTTTCAATTTCCAAAGAGTCTCAAGCTTTGGAAGTCACCTAGATTTGGCGGGCCATCTTCAGGCTAATTTTATCTCTGAAATGAAGCAAACCCACTTCTTTCAATCGTAAATATCTCAGCTTCTATTCAAGATAAATGGGTAATTTTTTCATAGAAAGCAAGACAAAAGAACACGCTTTAATATAGTACCAATAACTTCATATGCCCATAAATTGATAAGCGCCTGATTCCACAGCGTCGTCACACAAATGACAGTTGCGATTTGTTGCTACAGCTCACGGTACTGCATCGGATATAAGGGGTCAGTCCTTCCTAAAACGACCTTCAGTGAATAATGAATCAAATAGGAAATTCCTTCAAATGAAATGACAACAGAGGAGACATGTGACAAGTACTTGATATCATTGAAAACAGTAAGTGTATGCTGCACTGGTACAATTCCACATTCAGAAACCAAGACAAAAAAGAATTAACGATAGATTTACATTCTTTTCTTTTTTAAAAAAGCAATTATTATGAGCAGCAGAACATCATTTGCATATTTTGATCACATTCCTAAAACCTGACATTCTTGTAGTGGACAATAAAAACAACAAAACCACATTGTGTAATTGTTAAGGAATGAAAAAGGAGAACTTTTCCTTTTCCACAAGTGAGACGGAAACGTCAAGTGAATCCACACAAGAAAACACTTGGAAAAAAAGAAACAACAAACCAAACCAGAAACGTACAGAACCATAAACAGTGACTAAAATGGTCCAAACATTTTCACAAAATGTGAATAAAAGTGAAAGAGTGAACAACAAGAAACATGTTCTCATATATTCCTATTACTACTTTAGTATCATGTTTATTGTCAGCCCTTTCACAAAAAAGGCAAGAGAGAAAGTACATCATACACTTACACATTATAAAAAAAAGTCAAGAGAGGAAACAAAGACTATGATGATAGGCATTAGATCATGCTGCGACAGCCAAACCTTTAGATTAAAAATCTGAGTACATTAGGGGAATTAAAACCTGCCAAGAATACAGACCTCCGCAAAAAGTTCAAGAGACACAGGGCACAATAGCATTGCAAACGCAAAGGCACGCATTATTAAGAATAACAGAAAGAGTTTTAAAAATAGAGCAGAGCAGCTACTTCAGTCACTGGTCAGTTAAAAGCTAATTCCTCATGACGCATCTTTTGGGAGAATGAGGCGGAACAGCGGAGTCCTTCATGACAGATGAGAAAATATTTCTTAACCCTATCCGTACATTATGTACCTCCGGGGTTGTATTCTTCTCATTTTAGAATACTTTTAGTACAAAGATCTCTTTGAAACTTTCAGTATTTCTCAAAAAATCATGTTGACAGACTGCTATGCAAAGCGTATGGATCGGATTAACGAGTAAATGTCCTCTTTGGAAAGTGGTGGCACAAAGTTCCCCACATCGTATGGATACGATAGTGTCGATAGTAAAACAAGACGTACGGATAGGGTTAAGTGGTGGCACAAAGTTCCCCACGTCGTATGGATACGATAGTAAAACACGACGTACGGATAGGGTGAAAACTGAGAAGTCTGAACATTTTGTTCGCATTACAAACCACAACGACAGAGACAAAACTTAAGACAAGTTAAAAGCTCCACGTTTCAAAGTCAAAGGCAGGCGAGGCGCTTAAACTCTTTCCCTACAATCATCGACTTGCTTTGCAAACGATAGAACATTGCTAGAGAGCAGGAAACGAGGTGAAGGGAGACAATTTTAGAGAAGAAAATCTTTCGGCCGCCACTCGGATTCGAACCTGGGACCTTTGAAAGAGAGGCGAGCACCTTAACCTCAGGCCACGCGAGCCCCCACTTTGCAGGTTTAAAATTAGAAATAAAATTATCAACAAACCACTAAACATGACAATAACGGAAACAAAAACTACAGCATTTGTAGGTCTTGACGTTACAGACACGAGCAGACATAGCAGTTGACTAAAGCACACATGACACGACGACCTAAAGTGTCGTTTGTAGACGCGCCGTTTGTACAAACGACCCAAAGCGTCATTTGTAGACGGACCGTTTGTACAAACGACCCAAAAGTGTCATTTGTACACGCGCCGTTTTTACACGTGTGGTTTGCTCTGACTAGCCTTGACAAGACCAGAACGCGACACAGACACACAAATTCTGCGTGTCATTTTTTGTACTTCTGAGTAATATATGAATTATGTGAAGATTTTAAAAAAGGCACACACCTGACATAATATACACTCATAAAACTCATAAAACACACTCACGTGCATGATCGTAAATGTGAAATAAAAAAATGAATCACAAAGTGAAATCGACAACAACGCTGCAAATTTCTTTTTAAAAATGCCCCTGTCATGATATAAATATCACAAACATTACCAAAAATCACATTGTAATTTTTTTTTTAAACGACTAAAGTCAACCAACCCTTTTTCTCCATCCCTGTGGCAGTACGATAATGCTGTCAGTCTAACAGTTTGCCGTCACATCTCTCCGATCGGCCATGTTTACCTCCCAGTTTCTTTGGATTTCCCCCAAAATGTCTTTGCATTTGATGCCTTTTTTAAAAGGGCTCTTCCGAAATTTATTCAAAAACTTGCTAGTTTCACTTTGATTTTTTAACACAAGTAGGGTAACTCTGTTCGCAAAGGGTGGGCATTTGCGAAGAGGGCGCCTCCGAATTTTGAGGACACTTTTTTAATTGGCTCAAAGAGAGGAGTGGCCCATCTTGTTATGTAGACTCTTTGGTGTTAACCATGCCACCTCTCGGCACATAAGACGCGGCACAGAAAGGGTGAATGAATTCATTAACTCTTACCCTCTGGCTCGCCGCTTCACGCGCATCCCGCAGTGACAGGGGAGTATCTGAGGCAGGATGGGAGGAACGACTTTCCAACCTCAAGCACCCGATTACTCTACTGGAATTATTTGTCATAGTTTTACGCCCCCATCGGCACAGTTTAGATCATTTTGGAGGCGGGCTACTTCAACCCTGATACCCTGTGCGTGCAGATTGTAGAATAAACTCTTCATAAGTCACACGTGCACAAAATACGTAGATCACATTTTTTAAAAACCCATTTCATCCCACTGAAAATAGAGAACGTTTAACAATTAAATCATATGCCTAAAAAAAAAAATTTTTTTTTAAAAGCAAAAAAAGCTGAACTTTTTTTGTGCGACATGAAAATTTGCAAACAGGTAGATGGTAACACTTCATTTAATTTGGGACAAGTCAAACAAAAGTGACCCACAGTCAGACCCCTACTTTAAAAACAGTTAAGTAACTGACCTTACAGCAAGACCTCTAAAATAAAGTATCATTAGGAAAGAAAAAGCTCTTTCTAGTACAATCCAAATAAAGAAAACATTTGTTAAAAATTCAGGGCTTTTCAATTTAAAAAAATTAAACCCTCTCATTTCAAAAGCTCTTTCAATAAGTACAACAAATCCCACTTGTAAGGCTGCAGGAACTTTCCACACCTTGTATGTTATTTACTGTTGCAAAAATAGACATTCTTAAGATCCAATAGTTTGAAAAATAATTTAAGTAATCAGCCATTTCCTTCCCATCACTTGATCAAGGGTAAAATGTATATGAATAGAATATATCATATTGTAAGCACAAAACATATAAGTACGCATGAAAAACCAGATCAGGAGCCAAATAGGAGATTGTTTTCTTAATATTACGACACATAAAAAGAAAAATGGAATGGTTAAAACAAAACGTAGCTAAACACTAAAAACAACGCAAGGCTTGAGATTGCTTCCAACTTAAAGTGGGCAATATTTCAAAGTGAGAGGCAAGAAAGTTCAACCAGAGGTCTGAAGGCAAACCAGGATGTCAGATGAGCAAGTCAACACAATAATATGCATGCAGTTAATTTGTCTTGTACGATTTCAATCCTTTTTTCTTTCTGCTGAAGAGGCGAACATAAAGGGAGTTCACAAAAACAGAAGCCTGGTCTTCAGTCTCTGCATACAATTAATAATAATTTCAACATTCTTTAAAAATTTGAGTCAATTCATTCAGGTCGTCAGAACATCTCAAAACCGGTAGCGCAACTGTATTATAATAATATAACCAAAAAAACCCTGAATTAACTCCAAGATAAAAAACTAAATTCGTCCTCCGATATTTTACACACATTCCAACATTTTGAACAAGCTATCAATTCTGTGACCACATGGCGGCAGTGACAATTATACAAAAGGAAGTCTGTGGCAAATTAGCACCAAGGACAGAAATAGAACCGCACCGACCTTCGCCTAACAATACATCTTGACAAAGGATTTAAGAAAAAAACAAGCACCTCTTCTGTAACATTTTTTACTTTTCATCTCATTACGCCATAATTAATCGCAATGTTTTCCCCACATACATACGAGTAGCCAATCTTTGAAAAACTTTTACTTCCACAAATCTACTCAATGAGGATAAAGAGCTTCGGATACTACATGAGAATCGTCCCATTCTTTCCTTTCACACTCACACACAGCAAGCAATTTTATAAAGTATGAAAACCTCCAAAAGAATTCCAGATAATAAATTACAATTTCACTGACCTTGGTTAAACATGAGTACTTATTGACCCTCTCGACATCCTAAGGATATCAGAAGAAGGAAAAAGCACAAAAAAAGTAAGTACCTATTGACCTGAAAATTGAAGAAAAAGATTCCACCAAATGTCACATTTTAAGACGGTCCGTATGGCAGAGTCTAACATCACAGGAAGCAGTCAGTCAGTTTGTGCAGGCACAGTTCTCTCATTCACACAGGCACAGTTCTCTCATTCACACAGGCACAGTTCTCTCATTCACACAGGCACAGTTCTCTCATTCACACAGGCACAGTTCTCTCATTCACACAGGCACAGTTCTCTCATTCACACAGGCACAGTTCTCTCATTCACACAGGCACAGTTCTCTCATTCACACAGGCACAGTTCTCTCATTCACACAGGCACAGTTCTCTCATTCACACAGGCACAGTTCTCTCATTCACACAGCCATCCCCTCTTTTCATCCAGACAACCCTCTTCTCCCAACCATCCCCTCATCCACACAAAGATTTCAGACAACTAGCCCCTCATCTCATCCAGACAACAATCTTCTCACAATGATCCACTCAACCATCCCCTCATCCACACAACCATCCAAAACAGCGATCACCTCCTCCCCTCATCCCGGCACGCCTCGAGACATGCACTCACACATCGCTCGGGGGCAGGCCGTCGGGGTTCAGGTACTCACACAGCTGCTCCTCCCCATTCACAAAGGTCACCTTGCTGGCTGTGACCTCGTTTAGCCTGAAAAAAAAAACAATATGTGTCACAACGTGGAATCAGGCACTCGTCAATTTTGGGGCATATGGTGTTATTGGTACCATCTTAAAGCTTGTTCATTTGCCTTCCTTTTGGAGAAAACAAATTTCCATCTATGTCGAATAGAAGTCGAAATATTTGCGATTGAAGGAGGTCAGGATCACCTGGTTTCAGAAGTAAAATTAGCGAGAAAATAGCTACCAATTGGTAGAAAACTGAAAATTTACATTTTTTGTGCCTTTAGTCAATATTTGTCCTTAAAATCAGGGAAGTAGCGGCCCACACACCCAAACAAACACACACATACACACCAGGGTCTGATGATGGTCCAACATCCAGAGAACATGACCGGCTCGTTGACACACACACACACACACACACACACACTCACCAGGGTCTGATGATCGTCCAACATCCAGAGAACATGACCGGCGCGTTGACGATGAGACAGATGCCCATACACACACACATACACCCACACACACACACACACACACACACACACACACACACACACACACTCACCAGGGTCTGATGATCGTCCAACAGCCAGAGAACATGACCGGCGCGCTGACGATGAGACACACACACACATACACACACACTCACACACACCCACAGACACACACTCACCAGGGTCTGATGATAGTCCAACAGCCAGAGAACATAACCGGCGCGTTGACGATGAGACAGATGCCCAGACGCTCCGGGTAGTAGCGGCCCAGTAGCCAGATCAGCTTCTTCACAAACTGGTAGTCCATGTTGGCCATGCAGAAATTCTTCAGGTCAAACACGATGCACATGTTGTCGATGACACTCTCGTCTATACGCTGGCATGTCAGTTCCTGGGATATTGGGGGGGG